AACCAGGCGTCTTCAAACTACAGCCCGCGGGCCACATGCGGCCCGCAGAGGAGTCTGATCCGGCCCGCCAGGTTTTTTGGGCAGTGAGCGCAGCCGAGGTGTTACAGCAGGAATTAGTAGTTCATATAGTCCGGCCCTCCAGCTCTCTGAGGGACCGTGATCTGGCCCCCACTTTAAAAAGTTTGAGGACCCCTGCGAGAGTCTAACCACTTCCCTGCCAGCCTGATTGATGTCTAACTGCTCCCCTAACAGCTTGTTTGCCCCCAACTTCTCTCCTCTGCCGGCCTGGTCCCTCCCAACTGCCCTCCCCTGCTGGCCATCTTGTGGTGGCCATATTGTATCCACACGGAGGCAGGATCTTTGACCACATGGGGGCAGCCATCTTGTGTGTTGGAGTGATGGTCAATCTGCAAATTACTCTTATTAGATAGGATGGGTTGATAAGCCAAGGGCTGCATTTGAAATCTTTCAGGAATGCTGAACAAAGAACACAGATGAAACTTTTGGAGAAATGACCACTCAGAAGGGCCTTCAAAATCCTCCACCTGGGAAAACCTCCTGTAGCAACCATTTACTTGATTATAATACTATTTGCAGTATTCATGTGATTTGGTTTTGTACGGATTGATTTTGGACCAATCAGATTTAATAAGGTTCATCTTCTTTATCATATTCAATATCCTGGTGCAGAAGGTAGAGGAAACTGTACTCCATGGTCACATCATTATCTTTGCTAAGTAGAATGTGTGTGTTATTTGTTTATTCGTACATCCCATTTTCTCATTCTCCAATCCCATTTCCAACCCTCTCCCTCCAGAGGCAGGTATTCTGGTGTGTTTATGGAGATTATCTTTGATTCTATGTATTGTACATATTATTTGGTTTGAAAACTGTGTTTCTGTTAACATTTTAAATGCACTGAATAGTTTCTAAAACTTTTATAGCTTAAGGAAGAATAATAAAACGCCCATCTACCAACAATGCTAAGAACTAGAACAAAGTATTTTTGAACCCTCCTATTTCCCTTCATATACCTCTTCCCCTGACCCAGAGGAAACCATTATCCTGACCTTGATGCCCTCTCTCTCTCTCTCTCTCTCTCTCTCTCTCTCTCTCTCTCTCTCTCTCTCTCTCTCTCTCTCTCTCTCTCTCTCTCTCTCTCTGAAAGTTCTGCTTCCTGTGTAAGTATCCCTAAACAATACATGGTTTTGTTTTGAAAACCCAAGTGGCAAGCACACTGCCTCCCCCCCTGCCCCACCCCCACTGGTTACTGAAGTGACTCCTAGGTGAAGCTGCTCAGGAGACGAGTGAACAGAACCCCTCAGTCATTGTCTGGCTTCAGCTTCCCGCAGGGTTTACAAGAGCCCCTTCTGGGAAGTCAGGGGGTGAGGTCACACGAGATTCCAGGGAACTAACATGTGGTTCTCCCCAGTCAGTGCATCATCAGTGGTAACAATATGGGTTGACAGGGAGTGGGCCCATCTATCTTCTTCTAATCTCCCCATAACCCCCTATAACCCCCAAGAGTAGGTGACAGCAGGTCACTTCTGTGGGGTGAAATGCCTGTCTGCTCTGGAGCTGGGCTGCTGCTGTGCTTGGAGGGAGGGCTTGCAGGAGCTGTGGCAGCACGTGGTCAAGGTTAGTTAAGTACAGGTGCTGTGAGGCAGGCTCACCTGGGTTAGCATTCTGTCCTCGGGTTAACAGACAACAGATGGTGTTGTTTTCTCCTTAGCGAAGAGCAGATACTAAAAAATGAATGTCATGGAGTGGATGACCTAAGACAAGAGAATATACACTTTATTTTTTTCTTTCTCCCTTTCTTGTTTATTCCGTATTATCCACACCCCCATCCCTCCCCAAGCCCTGCCATATAGGTATGTCTTTGAATGTGTTTATTTCACAAATATTTATTGAGCATCTACTAAATATTACTATGAACTGTTCTTGGCACCAGGGATACAACAACAGTGAACAAAACGAAAGGCCCTGCTTTGTGGAGCTTACAGTCTACCTGGGAGAGACAGACACTAATCACAATAAATAAATATGAAATATTTCAGGTGGTGATCGGTGTTTGGTAGAAAAACATAAGATAAAAAGTAAGATAAAGGGATAGACAGTGCTGGTGAATGAGACCAAGTTAGATACGCTGGTCAGGGAGGGAATTCTTCTCTAAGGAGATAACATTTGAGAATACTGGATGTGGGTGGGCAAGTCCTCAGATGATCTGGGTAGAAGAATGTTCCAGGCAGTGAGAACAAATACAAAGCCAATGAAGAGGGAGGGTCCTTGTCAGTTTGAGCAACAGCAAGTGGGCCAGCATGGCTGGAGAAGAGTGAGTAATGGAGAGAATGACAGGAAATGAAGTCAGAGAGGGGTCGAGGTCCAGGATGTGTCGAGACTTTGGGGCCATGGTGGGGGCTATGGCTTTTATTCTGAGGAGCTGGGAGCCATGGGAGACTTTTGAGCAGAGGAGGGACATCATCTGATAGGGATTTTAAAAAGAATTTCAGGTAAGAATTAGTACTAGGCAAAGAAAAAACACACGTAACTATTAGGAAAATAAAAAAATACACAACAAAGGATATATAATCAGAGTTACTATGTGGTTTAGATATGAACAATATTTACAATGTCATACTTATGCAAACAGTGATTATTGGTTGAACAAAAATCTTTAAAACAATGGGAGATGTAACCACAAAGATGAGCAAGCAACAAGAGATTATTAGGAGTGAATTAGAACGTGAAATGTATGGAATGTATAAAAATGAATAATGCGACTGTTGAAACAAAAAACTCAGTGGAAAGATTACACAGCAGATCAGACATAGTTGAAGAGTTAATTGGTAAAAATCTGGAGACATTGCCCAGAATGAAGTACAGGATGATAAGAAGCCAGAAAACATTAAAAAAAAAAAAAAAGATATCATGAGATATGGAAGATATAATGAAGAGGTAAAAAATATTACTGACTGGATTCTGACAAAGAAAATACATAAATAATGGGAGAGAGAAACATTTGAAAAAATAATGGCTGAGAATTTTCTAGAAATTATGAAAAAATAAATCCGGAGGCATAAAGCAAGTGCAGTTCTAAAGTAGAATAAATGAAAAAGAAATACATGCCTAAACATTTTAGAATGATACTGAAGAGCCCCCTGTATATCAGAGAGAGAGAGAGAGAGAGAGAGAGAGAGAGAGAGAGAGAGAGAGAGAGAATGAATATCCTAAAGGTAGCTAGAATATAAGAAAACAAAAACACTTACAAAAACAGCAATTAGACTGGTAGCAGACTTCTAAATACCTATAACACTGTCTTTTAAGATGAGGATAAAATTACATTTACATATAACAAAGACTGGGACAATTTAACACCAAGAGACCTGTACTAAAAGAGCATTTAAACACTGTATTCATAATGAAGGAAAATGACTCCAGAATGATGGTCTGAGATGCAAGAATGTATGCATGTAAATCCAAACACTATGCATATAAAATAATACTAATGATGACGTAGAATTTATGAGGTTAGAAAAAAAAGAACAAACTCGGGACAAGAGAGAAATGCCTACAGTTGAAGGTTCCTGTGTTCTTGAAGAGGGAGACTAATATACTGTTTAACTTTAGACCTTATGAATTAAACATGTGTGGTAAAATGTCAAGGATAACCACAAAAAGAATAGGAAAAATGTAAATTCCAAACAGTAGGGAGGAAAAAAATTGAATAAGAAAGCAAACACTATAAATCTTAAAGCTAAAAAAGCAAGCAAAATAAATAAGTAAAAATAAAGCATAGAAAAGATGTTGGTAGGAAACAGAAATAAAAAAGTATGATGGTGCCCTAACCGGTTTGGCTCAGTGGATAGAGCATCGGCCTGTGGACTGAAGGGTCCCAGGTTTGAATCTGATCAAGGGCATGTATCTTGGTTGTGGGCACATCCCCAGTAGGAGTGTGCAGGAGGCAGCTGATTGATGTTAATCGCTCATTGATGCCTCTAACTCTCTATCCCTCTTTTTTCCTCTCTGTAAAGAAAATCAATACAATATATATTTTTAAAAAGTATAATGGTAGAAACAAGCCCAGATATATCACAGTAAGTGTAAACAGATTAAACTTGCCCATTAAAAAACAGAGATCATCAGATTACCTTTTTTGAAAAAAGGTCCAGAGATATGCCATTCTCAAGAGGTATAATTAAAGCATAAGAGCATGAAAATGTTGTAAAGTGAAAGGTTGGAAAATTATATGCCACATAAATCCTAATAAGAAGAAAAGCTTGTGTTGTTATATTAATATAAGGTAAAATAGACTTTAAGGAAAATGCATTATCAAGAATAGAGAGAGTCATTACATATTTATCAGGAATATATAACAATTATTCATTTGAATATTCCTAATAAAATATTCTCAAAATATATAAAAAATTTAAAAAGAACTGCAGGGAGAAATAGACAAATCCACCATTGTAGTTGAATATTAATACACCTCTTACAATTACTGCTATATAGTGACACCAAAAAATCAGTATAGATATAGAAAATTTGAACAATACAACAAGCTTGATAATAGACATATGTGGAACTCTGTAATCAACAATTAGAGAACATACATTCTTATAAAGCACATAGGAAACATTCAAAAATATTGATCACGTACTAAGCCATAATCAAGTCTCAATAAATTTCAGAATTGTTATCACACAGACAACATCCTCTGACCATAATGCAATCAAAATAGATTTCAATAACAAAGAGATATAATTTAAAAATCACCAAACACTGAGAAATTTGAAAACACACTTCCGTATAACTCACAGGTCAAAGAAGTAACCATGATGACGAAAATGTTAAAGTACTCGGAACCGAACAATAATGAAACAGGACATGTCTGAACTTATAGAAAAGCAGTATTTAGAGGGCAATTTATATCCTTAAATGCACAAATCAAAAAACAAGGAAGGCTGAAGATTAATGAGCTCAGTATCCAATATAAGAAATTAGAAAAAGAACAACAGAATAAATCCAAAAAATGTGGAAGGAAGGAGATCAAAAAAGATAAGAGCAGAAATTAAAGAAATAGAAAACAAAGACATAATAGAGAGAAGCAACAAAGCCAAAAGTTGGTTCTTTGAAAAGACTAATAAAATAGACAAACCTCTGGAGAGATTGATCATGAAAAAAAGTGAGAAGGCACAAATAACCAATAACAGCAATGAAAAAGGAGACATAACTACAGATTATATACAGCAGAGAATCAAAAGTAAGGGAAGTTGATGCCAATAAATTTGAGAATGCAGACAAAACAGACCAATTCCTAGAAAACTATAACTTACCAAAACTGACTCAGGAAGAAAAAGAAATCCTGAATAGTCCTCTATTAAAGGAACTGAAGCAGCGGTTAAAACTCTCTACCAAAAATAAATGAATGAATAAATTAATAAGCAAACAAATAGCAGAAGGCAAAATTTTCTAGTTGATATGTAGATTACAGGTAAGTAAAGAGATACTGATTCCCTCAGCCCTAAAGGTGTCCATGTAGAACCTAAGGCAGTGGAGATCCTTAGAGGGTGACCCTTAGTGAAATGTGGTCTAACAAATGAGTAACATCCAGCACTCAGTTACTGCTCTGTGGTAAGTGTATTAAGCAGGACCGAGGAGCTCAATCACATGGACAGCCTCTTCAGTAGACAGTTTCTGTAGTCTTCTGCTCACTGAGGACAAGGGACTTGTAGAGCTGCTGGAGGAATCTGTGTTCCAGTTGCCAAGAAACACCATACACAGCCAAGTTGTGACTAGTTGGGGTGGGGTTGGGTGCAGGAAGGCCAAGCAGGGGCTTCTAGAGAGTGTAGCTCCTGGTAGAAGCCCTGAAACTCTGTCTTCACGAATATCAGATACTTTTATTCATTTGCAGCTGATGAGCCCTTTTAATGGTGTCCAAGCTAGCTGCGGGGCTAACAATGATGGATGTTCTGCAAATAAGAGCTTCATCATTATTTTGAAATAATTTATATGAGCGAGTTCAATTGTTTTGAAATCTAATCACATTATCACAAGAAATTTTAACAATATATTCATCAATTAAACAAAAAGAAAAGCTGTCAGATACCATTTCAGTTGTTAAACATTTTTGAAGATTTTAAAAATTGGTTTTAAATACTTTATCAGCTATTTGTGCATAAATTTTTCTTGATTGTGACTACTAAAATTTGAAAGAACACATCATTAAAAATTCTTGATCAGAATTTGGGTGTATCCATTTCAAGCATAAAACCTAATATAAAATAAACACTTTATGCAAGCAGTTTTCAAATTTCTCATTTAAAAATCTGGAAAGACTTCCAGTCAACAATTGTAATAATCTGAGCAATAAAGATTTAATTTTTTAAAAAAGACTCCCAGTCAAGGCACATAACTGGGTTGTGGGTTCAATCCCTAGTGGGGACAGGTGTGGGGGGCAACCAACTGATGTTCCTCTAGATTCTAGGACATCAATGTTTTTTCTCTCTCTCTCTCCTCCTTCCTTTCTCTAAACATATCCTCAGACAAGATTAAAAAATAAATAATTAAAACAAGAACTTAAAAAGAGTTGGCAGAGAACTCAGGGTCCACATACAGGGTGGGGCAAAAGTAGGTTTAGAATTTTAAGTGCGCAAAAGTTTATTTGTGTATTATTATTTTCCATATGAATAACTGTGACCTGCTCTTGCCACATCCTGTAATACAGGGAATACAGAATTCACAAGGGCAACAAGGAAAATAACAAAACAATAACAACCACCACACATGCACAACCCATAACAACAACAAACTTTGAGGGTGGAAGAGTCTAATACCAGAGTTGTTAGAGTATCTAAAATGACCAGTTTTTTACAAACAACAACAACAACAACAACAACAACAAATGTGAGACATGCAAAGAAACAGTGAATTATATTACATACACAGGGAAAACAGCAGCCAAAAGAACATGTCCCCAAGGAGGCTAATATTTGGGAGTTAATAGACAAAGACTTTAAATTAGCTATTATACACATTTTCAAAGAACTAAAGGAAACCATATATGTAGAATTAAAGGAAAGAATGAGAACAATGTCTTATAAAATAGAGACTATCAATAGAGATAAAAATCATAAAGAAGAACCAAATAGAAAATCTGGAGTGAAAAGTATAACTACTGAAATGAAAAGTACATTTTGAGGGGTTCTACAACAGGTATGAGCTGGCAGAAGAGAAGGGTGAAATTGATGAGAGGTAAATAAAGATTATCCATTATGAAAAGCAGAAAGAAAAAAGAATGGAGAGAAAGAAACAAAGCCTGACAGACCGATGAGACTACATCAGTGTACCAACATAAGTATAACAGGAGTCTCAGAAGGACAAGAGGAAGATAAAGGAGCCAAAACATCACAAATTTGATGTAAAATATTCTATACAACCTCAAGTAGAATAAACTCAAAGAGATCCATACCTAGATACATAGCGAAACTGGTGAAAGACAAAAAGAAAATCTCAAATGCAGCAACAGGAAAATGACTTAATTGCGTATAAGAGAGCCTCAATAACATTAGTACCTGATTTCTCATCAGAAACCAAAGGACACAAGACTGTGTCACAGCATCTTCAAAATGTTGAAAGAAAAGGTCTGTCAAAGGAGAATTCCACATCTAACTAAACTGTCCTTCAAACATGAAAGAGAACTTAAGATAAACAAAACTAAAAGAATTTGTTGCTAGCATTAGGCTGAAATTAGAGGACACTAAATGGTAACTTGAAGGTAACTACATGGGTATGAAAAAATAATTTTTAAAACACTTTATTTTCCTGCCAGGACCGGTTTGGCTCAGTGGAGTGTTGGCCTGTGGACTGAAAGGTCCCGGGTTCGATTCTGGGCAAGGGCATGTACCTTAGTTGCGGGCACATCCCCAGTATGGGGTGTGCAGGAGGCAGCTGATGGATGATTCTCTCATCGATGTTTCTACAATAACTCTCTATCCTTCTCTCTTCCTTTCTGTGAAAAATCAATAAAATATATTTTTTTAAAAAACCACTTTATTGTCCTATCTTAAAAGATAACTGCATAAAGCAATAATAATAAAATTTGGTGATGGGTTTACAACCTATAAAGAAGTAATTTGCATGAAAAAAAAAACTACAAAGGAGGGGAGAGGAAACAGAGATATACTGGAGCAAAGGTTTTTACAAACCACTGAAAGTAAGTTAGAATTAGCTGAAACCGGTGTGGCTCAGTGGATAGAGCGTCAGCCTGCGGACTGAAAGGTCCCAGGTTCAATTCCGGTCAAGGGCATGTACCTTGGTTGTGGGCACATCCCCAGTAGAGGGTGTGCAGGAGGCAGCTGGTCGATGATTCTCTCTCATCGATGTTTTTAACTCTCTATCCCTCTCTCTTCCGCTCCGTAAAAGATCAATAAAATATATATATATATATATATATATATATATATATATATATATATATATATATATATATAAAAGAAAAGAAAGTTAGAATTAATTCAAAGTAGAATGCCTCAAATTAAGATGTTAATTGTAATCCTCAGAGCAACCACTAAGAAAGTAACTAAAAATATATATATAGTTGGTAAGGAAATTAAAAAGTTAAGGTAGAAAGTATCTACTTAACACAAAAGAAGAGAGGAATTAAAGAACAATGGAACAGAAAAGACATAAGACATACACAAGGCAAATATCAATCCTTCACAAACTCATAAAATAGAGAAAAAACACTTCCCAGTTCATTCTATGCAGCCAGTATTACACTAACAACAAAACCAAAGACATCACAAGAAAACTACAGACCAATATCCCTTATGAATATATAGCAGATGTAAAAATCTTCAGGAAAATACTAGCAAACCAAGTCCAGCAACATAGAAAAAGTATTATATAACATGATGAATTAGGATCTATTTCAGAAATGTAAGGTTAGCTTATCATCTGAAAAGTAATCAATGTAATACGCCATATTAATAGAATAAAGCGTAAACTCCACACAATCATCTCAATGGATGCAGAAAAGGCATTTGACAAAGCCCATTCATGGCAAAAGCACTCAGAGAACTACGAGAAGGGAACTTCTTCAACTTGGTAAAAGGTAAAACCCACAGCTAACATCATACTTAATAGAGAAAGACTCAATACATTACCCCTAAGATCAAGAACAAGATAAGGATACTTGCTGTCATTACTTCCATTCAGCACTGTACTGTGAAGACTAGGGAGGGCAATTAGTCAAGAAAAAAACAAACAAACAAAACCCACCCACATTCTGGCCAGGTAGTTCAGTTGGTTATAGTGTCATCCAGATAGGCCAAGATTGCAGGCTCGATCCCCAGTTAGGGCACATGCAAGAATCAACCAATGAATGCCTAAATAAGTGGAACAACAAATTTCTCTCTCTCTCTCTCTCTCTCTCTCTCTCTCTCTCTCTCTCTCTCTCTCTCTCTCTCTCTTCTTCCTCCCCCCTCCCCATCCCTCCCTCTTTCCTTCTCTCTCTCCCTTCCTCACTCTTTAAAATCAATAAATAGCCCTACCTTGCCGAAACCGGTTTGGCTCAGTGGATAGAGCGTAGACCTGTGGACTGAATGGTCCCAGGTTCGATTCCAGTCAAGGGCATGTACCTTGGTTGCAGGCATATCCCCAGTAGGGGGTGTGCAGGAGGCAGCTGATCGATGATTCTCTCTCATTGATGTTTCTAACTCTCTATCCCTCTTTCTTCCTCTCTGTTAAAAATCAATAAAAAATATATTTAAAAAATAATAATAAATAGCCCTACCTGGTTTGGCTCATCAGATAGAGCGGTGGCTGGGACTGAAGTGACCCAGGTTCAATTCTGGTCAAGGGCACACACCCCTGGTTGCAGGCTCGATCCCCAGTGTGGGGTGTGCAGAGGGCAGCCAATCAATGATTCTCTCTCATCATTGATATTTCTATATATCTCTCCCTGTCCCTTCCTCTCTGAAATCAACAAAAATATATTTAAAAAATAAAAATCAATAAAAAATTATTTTTAAAAAGCATCCAGATTGGAAAGAAAAAGTAAAACTATATTTGTAGATCACATGATCTAATATACAGCGAATCCTCAGGAATCCACTAAAAACTATTTGAACTAATAAGTTCAGCAATGTGGCAGAATGGAAGATCAATAAATAAAAATCAACTATATTTCTACACACTAGCAATAAGTAATCAGCAAGTGAAATTAAGAAAATAATCCTATTCATAATAGCAGCCAAAGTAAAATACTTAGGAATAAATTTAACAAAAGTGAAAAACTTGTGTACTGAAAACTATAAAACACTTCCAAAAGAAATTAAAGACAATCTAAATAGAAAGTCTTTTCATGTTCACAAACAGGAAGACGCAATACTGTTCAATGGCAATGATTCCTAATTGATATATAGATTCGACACAATCCCTATAAAAACTCTAGCTGATTTCTGCAGAAACTTGGCAAACTGATCATAAAATCCATATAGAAATGAAAGGGACTTCAAAGAGCTAAAACAATCTTGAAAAAGAACAAAGGTGGAAGATTACATTTCCTGTTTTCAAAACTTACTCTATGCAACTATAGTAATCAACACAGTGTAGTCTGGCATAATGACAGACACAGATCAATAGGATAGAATTCAGAGTCCAGAAATGAATCTTTAAATTTATTATTTATGGCCAATTGATTTTTCACAAGGTTGCCAAGACAATTCAATGAGGGATAGAATACTCTTTTCAACAAAAGGTACTGGGACAACTAGATAGTCGCATGCAGAAGAATAAAATTTGGACCCCTACCTCACCACACACAAAAATCAACTCAAAATGTCTCATCAACCTAAATGTAAGAGCTAAAAAATCATATAACTCCTGGAAGAAAACACAGGAATAAATCTTTGTGACCTTGGGTTATTGACTGGTTCCTTAGATATGACATGAAAAAGTCAAGTGACAAAAGAAAAATAGATATGGCCTGACCGGAGTGGCTCAGTTGTTTGAGCATCATCATCCTGTGCACCAAAAGGTTGCTGGTTCAATTCCTGGTCAGGGCATTTCAGGTTTGATCCCCAGTTGGGGAGTTTAGGGAAGGCAACTGATTGATGTTTCTAATATTGAGGTTTCTCTCTTTCCCTCCTCTCTCTAATCATGTCCTCAGGTAAGGATAAAAAACACACACATAATCTTGACTTAAAAATTTATGCATAAAAAAACTCCATCAAGAAGGTGAAAAGTCAACCCAGAGAAAGAGAAAAGATTTGCATTTTATATATCCGATAAGGAACTTGTATCTAAAATACATAAAGAATTCTTACAACTTGCCCGGCTGGCATGGCTCAGTGGTTAAGCACCAACCTATGAAGCAGAAGGTCACGGTTCAATCCCTGGTCAGGCACAAGCCCTGGTTCTGGACTCGGCACCCAGTTGGGGGAGGGTGTGGGGCATGTAGGAGGCAGCTGATCAGTGGTTCTCTCTAATCATTGACGTTTCTATCTCTCTTTCCCTTCCTCTCTGAAATCAATAAAAAAATGTTTTTAAAAAAGAATTCTTACAACTCAACAATAAGAAGACCATCCCTTCCACTCTCCCTAAAAATCAATGGAAAAAAATATTGTCAGGTGAGGATTGAAAACACGTAGCTTAAGGAGGAGGAAAAGAAAGTGGGAAGGGCAATGAGAGTAAGGACACTGACCCCGTCTCCTGGCCTCCTGGTCAGAGGGCTATGTGGAGCTGCTGGGGGAGCAGTATGGGGGATGGACAATCAAGGGGTGTTTACGGCATTAAAATATATATATATATATATATATATATATATATATATATATATATATATATATATATATATATAGACTTTTTGTAGACAGGAAGGGAGAGGGATAGAAAATTAGAAACATCGATGAGAGAGGAACATCGATCAGCTGCCTCCTGCACACCCCGCACTGGGGATGTGCCCGCAACCAAGGTACATGCCCTTGACCGGAATCAAACCCGAGACCCTTCAGTCAGCAGGCCAACACTCTATCCATTGAGCCAAACCGGTTTCGGCTCTGGGGGCATTTTTTGTTGTCACGATAGTTGGAGATCACTGGTGGCATTTAGTGGGCACAGACCAGCTGAGCATCTGCACAAGATAGCTCCACACAGCAAAGAATTGAACCCCATTCCATACAACTTTACAAGATCCCACCAGACAACCATGTAGTAAAAATCCTGATTATTCATTCATTTACTTAGTCATTCCACATTTACTGAGGAGCCTACTATGTGCCAGGCACTGTTTAAGATAATAGGGATGTGTCAGGGCACACACACACACACACACACACACACACATGCACACAAATGTTGACCCTTCTAGAGCTTACAATTGAGTGGGAGAGTCAGACAATAAAAATGTGAATTTTATATTCTGTAAGAGGGTGAGGAACACTGAGAAAAAACAGATCAGGGTATGTGCCAGTGGAGAGCTGCAATTTTAAAAAGGATGGTCAGGCCCGGCTAGTGTGGCTCAGGGATTGAGTGTCGACCCATGAATGAAGATTCTCAGTTCGATTCCCTGTCAGAGCTCATGGCCGGATCGCAGGCTTTATCCCCAGTATGGGGCATGCATACAGGTGGCAGCTGATTGATGCTTCTCTCTCATTGATGTTTCTATCTATCTCTCTCCCTTCCTCCCTCTCACTCTCTCTCAAATCAATAAAAGCATATTAAAAAAAAAAAAAAAAAAGATAGAATAGCCCTAGCTGGTTTGGCTCAGTGGATGGAGTGTTGGCCTGCGGACTGAAGAGTCCCGGGTTTGATTCCAGTCAAGGGCATATGCCTGGGTTGCGGGCTCGATCCCCAGTGGGGGGCATGAAGGAGGCAGCCGATCAGTGATTCTCTTTCATCATTGATGTTTTCTCTCTCTCCCTCTCCTTTCCTCTCTGAAATAAAGATGTATTTTTTTTAAAGATAAAATGAAAAGGATGGTCAGGGTAGGCCTCATTGAGAAAGTGACATGTGAGTAGAGGCCTGAAGGAAGTGGGGCGTGAGTCTTGTGCAAAAAAAAAGCATTCTAGGCACAGGTGACGGCCCAGTACAAACCCCTGAGGCGGAAGTGTGCCTAACATGTTCAGGTAGCGTAAAGGAGGCAAGGATGGGTGGCACAGAGAGAGCAAGTGGGGAGAGAGGTGGGATATAAGCCAGGGAGGTTTATGAAGGCCACATCATGGATTCTAATATACACTGACTGTTCCAGACACTCTACAACTACATAAATTGAGAGAAGACTGCGCTATGTTTTGTTTAGAACTTTATGAAGAATTGCTCATCAACTAGGAAAATTGCATCATCTTACCTGCGGTTTCTGAGTCACCAATCAACACACATGTAGCTGTCACATTCCCAGGTTTAAGCGCCATTAAATGCAAGACCATTTCATTATGACTCCTTCATAGAATGACATCCCCGGCTTTACATACCACAACACATACTGCTTTATTATCAATTGCTCTCCCTTTACTTCTCATTTCTATTAGTTAGGGCATTATATTGGCTTGGGGGAATGAGGTGCGTAGATAGATTCTATAATATTATCTATGCACTTCATTTCAGAATAGGGAAGGGGCATTTCAAAATATACACAGTTAAAATGGAGTGCTGGGGCCAACAGGTATGAGAACCTCTAAGGAATGGAAAGAAAACTCAGACTACTCAGAAGCCCGGGTGAGAATGGAGGGGATTTTGCTGATGCTTAAAGGTGAGTTCCAGAAGGCGTGGTCAAAGAGTATGAGGGAGGGGGCAGAAGGGCTGTATGGGGGTGTAACTAGCAGACCCTTGGTCTTCTTGTGCTGACTAACACAATATAGAATAAAGGGCCTAGCCCTAACCATTTGGCTCAGTGGATAGAGCGTCAGCCTGTGGACTGAAGGGTCCCGGGTTCGATTCCCATCAAGGGCATGTACCTTGGTTGCGGGCACATCCCCTGTGGGGGGTGTTCAGGAGGCAACTGATCGGTGTTTCTCTCTCATCGACATTTTTAGCTCTCTATTCCTCTCTCTTCCTCTCTGTAAAAATTCAATAAAATACATGGAAAAAAAAAAACATAAAAAGAAGGCAGGATCCCCTTAAAAAAAAAAAAAAAAGAAAGAAAGAAAAGAAAAAATAATAAAGGGCCAGATCCACTTTTTTCATTTAAGTTGCTCCTCACCCTGGGGTCTCTACCTGATTAACACAGGAGGCTGGGGAACAGAGGCTCCATCTCCCCCCCCCCCCACACACACACACACTAGACTAGAGCCCTCAGCTAAGTTCACAGTTGCTCTTAGGCCAACCTCATTGCTATAAACAATGCACCTTTAACCCATTTAAGGATAGAAAAGAGACAGGTGGAAAGAGGAAACACCATAACAGAGAAAACCAATGAGGGTAGGGGCAGAGACAAGACAGGGAGTAAACAAAGCCAAAGACCAAGAGTGAGAATATTCTTCTCCATCACGACCGTCATTTATTGAATATTTCCTAGGGGCCGGGTGTTGGGCAAAGCGATGCACATATACTGGCTCAGGTGGAGATTATGAGACTCCCATTTGACAGATGAGGAAAACTGAGGCCCACAGCCGTGAGGCAGATGGTTCAAGGTCTCATGGCTAGCTATAACAGGATTCAGCCTTCTAGGCCTGGGTTGTTGAGGATGTTGTTTAGAGAGGGAGCGACAGAGACAGACAGAAAGATGGAGATAGAGACAGACTGCGAGAGAGAAAGGCGGGGCAGAAAGCGAGGAGACTTACAGACACGCACGCAGACGATCACGTGAGCTGCAGACCTGCACAGAACGGTTTTCCAAGAGATTGGGGAAGAGGGGGCGCGGGAAGGCGAGCACGGGCAGTGGGCTACACAGGGTACTCACCTAGTCGCAGTCTGGGGTCGCAGGGCCCCTCGCCCTCCCTCTGCCACCTGCGGGATCCTCCGCCACCCGCTGACCTAGGGGTGAGAGGCCGCCCAGGTAAAAGCTCACCCAGGCCCCACCCCTCCCGCGCTCCCGCCCGGCCTCTTTCTGCCCCCAGACCCCCGCCCACCCCGGTCCTTATAGCCTCTCACCGGACACCCTCCGCCGGACACGCCACGCGAGAGCAGATGCCAGGAACCGGGAGCTGGATCTCGAGGATACCCAGGAGGTGTCCCTCCCGCAGGCTGAAGCACGAGCAGGATGGCTAGCCCCACCGCTACCTACGGCCGCGGGCTCCCATTGGAGGAGTACTCTCCTGTCGGCCCTGGGATTGGCTGGAGACGGAAACACTTTTTGTAACTCCCTCCCCCCAGGCCCGGATCCCGGAGGAAGAAAACCCCGCCCCTTCGGGGGTCTTTGATTGGCTGATGAGCCAAGCTGGAAACACTCAGACTCTAAGCCACATGTGTCAAACACAAGGCCCGCGGGCCAAATCCGTCCCGCCAGGCCTTGCAATGTGGCCCGCACCGCGCTGTCATCACTGCACTCCGCTGTGTTTCCATCACAATGACAGTTTATGACTGTTCAGTAAACCATTCCGCCCGCGATTTAGGCTGGATTTTAGATTTTGGCCCCTTCTCTGATTGAGTTCGACACCCCTACTCTAAGCCCAAAGTGGGGCCTGGAGCCAGTCACCCAATGATCAGAGATCCTGACTTCTTCTTATTATTTTTTAAAAATATTTTTTATTGATTTCAGAGAGGGGAGGGGGAGAGAGAGAGAGAACGAGAGCGAGAACGAGACATCAATGGTGAGAGAGAATCATTGATCAGCTGCCACCTGCACGTCCCCTACTGGGAATCTAACTGTGACCTCCTGGTCCATAGGTCGATGTTCAATCATTGAGCCACACCGTCCTGGCGATCCTGCTTCGTGACATCTTACTCTGTAAGTCCTTTTGTATAAACCACTGCCCCCTTAAAAGACATGACACTGCCCCAAATTTCCTATAGCTCTACCTTCACTGCAGGGGTTTCCGAGTTAGGTTTCTCTCACTCATAATGAGTGTACCTTAATTGGTTTGGCTCAGTGGATAGAGCATCGGCCTGTGGACTGAAAGGTCCTAGGTTCGATTCCGGTCAAGGGTACATGCCTGGGTTGCGGGCACATCCCCAGTAGGAGGTGTGCAGGAGGCAGCTGATCGATGTTTCTAACTCTCTATCCCTCTCCCTTCCTCACTGTAAAAAATAAATAAAATATATATATTTTTAAAAGAATACTTGTCTTACACAGAGAGACTAGTGGTTGCGGGGGTGGGGGTGGAGGACTGGGTTTTTGAAAGATGGGAGTGGGCCATAAGAAATGTAGTGAACAATATTGTAATTAACTATATATGGTGTCAGATGGACACAAGATATATTGGGCACATGACCAGTTGTGGGTTTGATCTCTGGTAGGGGGTATGAAGGAAGCAGCTGATCGATGTTTCCCTGTCACATTGAAGTTTCTCTCTCTCCCTCTCACTTCCTCTTTCTCTAAAAATCAATTTTAAAATCTTAAAAAAAGATTTATTGGGCCGAAACCGTTTGGCTCAGTGGATAGAGCGTCGGTCTGCAGACTGAAGGGTCCCGGGTTCGATTCCAGTCAAGGGCATGTACATTGGTTGCGGGCATATCCCCGGTAGGTTACACACCTGAAACTAATATAATATTGTATGTCAAATGTAATTGAAAAAGTAAAAGAAAATTTTAAATAAAAGTAAACAATTACAGTAAAGGACACAAAACCAACAAACCACACACACACACACACACACACACACACACACACCCTTGTTTTAAACTCTCAGCTCCAGGAGAACAAAGACTCAGTCTGTCATGTCTCCTTGTTATCTATCATCCAGTTTAGTATCAGGCATATAGTAGGTGCTCAATAAATGTTTCCTGGATGAATAATAGGATTCCTTCCTAACCATCCTGCACACCCCCAAATGAGGGAGCCAGTGCTGGCCCTTTGGATGACCTAAGAAGGAGGGATATTTCTGAATCTAGTTTTGGTTAAGTTTTGCCAATCTTTGGCTCACAGCAATGGGTGGCATTTTAAAGGTCTGGCCCCAGGAGATTCTGTAATTGTTTACTTCCTGCCCAGGAGCAGAGCCCTCTGCCACAGAGGAATGGGGTGAGCTGTGAAAGACACAAAGACATTTAGCTTTAGCATGGGAACAGGCCCTGGGGCCCACTGGGTCCACAACTCCTCCTGGTTTCCGTTTAGGGTCCCAGCAAATGGAGCCTGTATTCTCTGGTCTTCAGCAAAGACTGTACTTTGAAGTTGGATGTGGCCTCAAAGACCTTCTAGAACAGTCCATTCATTTTGGAGGCCGAGATTGGGCAGGACCTGAAGCCATACCATATACACCAAGGAGTGAGAGCACAAGCAACAATGAGATGTCACGCTACCAGTGGTCGGCAAACTCATTAGTCACCAGAGCCAAATATCAACAGGACAACGATTGACATTTCTTTGGAGAGCCACATTTTATAAACTTAAACTTCTAACGCCACTTCTTCAACATAGACTCGCCCAGGCCGTGGTCTTTTGTGGAAGAGCCACACTCAAAGGGCCAAAGAGTCGCAAGTGGCTCTCGAGCCGCAGTTTGCCGACCACGGCTCTAGGCAAAGAACATCCTCTCCTCCCATGGCTCAGGCCAGGGCATCAGCACCCTGGCTAACTACATTAGAATCCCATACTTGGCTCCTAATAGTGCCTCTGAAGCCAGAGGCCCTCTCTGACAGGGTGGGTGGAGCGGAGCCTCAAATTCCAAAATGAGGGCCTACAGATTTCCTTAGGAAGACAGAGAGGAATCAGAGAGAAGAGTGTAACAAAGGCCAGGCTTCAGAAGTCTACTTTGGGTCTGGATTCCATATTTTTTTAAAAAAAAATATATATATATATATTTTATTGATATTTTACAGAGAGGAAGGGAGAGAGATAGAGAGTTAGAAATATCGATAAGAGAGAGTCATCGATCACCTGCCTCTTGCATGCCCCCTATTGGGGATGTGCCTGCAACCAAGGTATATGCCCTTGACTGGAATCGAACCCGGGACCCTTCAGTCTGCAGGCTGACGCTCTATCCACTGAGCCAAACCGGTTTCAGCTGGATTCCATCTTGAGAACTTAGGCAGGTTGCCTCTCCTGGGCAGATGCCTAAGCTTGCAGATGGGAAAACAGAGGCCCTCTACAGCAGTGTTTCCCAACCTTCTCTCATGATGAGAATCACCTGGTGGAGTTGTTAAAACACAGATTCCCGGATCCCAACTAAGAAGTGCTAAACTAGAATTTTTGGGAACATATAGGTAAAATTGTATACTTAACTAGTGCTCTAAGACAGATTTTATATACAGAGCACTAAGTTCGGTATGCAATTTTACCTATATGTTCTCAAAAACTCTAGTTTAGCACTTCTTAGTTGGGATTCGGGAATCTGTGTTTTAACAACTCCACCAGGTGATTCTCATCATGAGAGAAGGTTGGGAAACACTGGTTTACACTAAGAGATACACACACTTAGTAAACTAATGAAAGCCTGTTGTGAATGCTGGGGTTTGTCAATGAGGCGGATCAGATTCCGATTTGACGGGCAGCCAATCAATGAAACAGACACAGCTGGAAATGGAGGATGAGGGTACATACAATCCACGTGTTCCAGCAGCACACAGGAGGTGTCTGCTAAAAAGAGAACCTGCTACTGTCCTCCAGAACTCTGTTCCTCCAGACCAAGAAGACATGCTCAGTTAGAAAACTGCAGTGTGGATACATTGCATCCTGACTATTATAGTACAGTGTTCTCTGTTCTTTCATTTCCCCCTTCCCTGCTCCTTTATTGTGCATAAAGTAGCTGATGTATGTGCACAAGCATTTGCATGTTAAACTAAATGGCCAGTGGTATGTTTTGATTGACAGCAGATGGAAATGAGATGGGGGGAAGACTGGTTCTGTGAAAATAGCCCCTTTCTTTTTTTTATTTTTGTTTATTTATTTATTTAAATATATTTTATTGATTTTTTTTTTTTACAGAGAGGAAGAGAGAGGGATAGAGAATTAGAAACATCGATGAGAGAGAAACAGTGACCAGCCGCCTCCTGCACACCCCCCACCGGGAATGTGCCCACAACCAAGGCACATGCCCTTGACCGGAATCGAACCCGGGACCCTTCAGACTACAGGCCGACTCTCTGTCCACTGAGCCAAACCAGTTTCGGCAATACCCCCTTTCTTTAGTGGAAGCTCATTTAGCTGTTATCTCCTATTCAAGTTAGTTATTTTACTTCTCACTGTTTAACAACAACAAGAACATAAAAGTCCTTGCATACCTCATTCCATTGGAGAATTTTAATGTTTTTCATTTATCATAGTAAACCCAAGGACAGTTTTTTTTTAATATATATATATATATTATTGATTTTTTACAGAGAGGAAGAGAGGGGAATAGAGAGTTAGAAACATCAATGAGAGAGAATCATCCATCAGCTGCCTCCTGCACACCCCCTACTGGGGATGTGCCCACAGCCAAGGTACATGCCCTTGACTGGAATCGAACCTGGGACCTTCCAGTCTGCAGGCTGATGCTCTATCCACTGAGCCAAATCGGTTTCGGCAAGGACAGTTTTTATAACTTTCTTATACATAGCTGTTACATATAGGGCACTCTGTCTTTAAGTAGAGGTACATTACTCTAAGAAACGAATCCTAGGTAGTTTCCCCTTCATGGCCAGCATCTTGTTTAAATAAACTTCTTGTTTAAAATGGAAAAAAATAAAGCCTGTCAGTTCCAGCATCTTAAAAGCTCTCATAGCCCTAACTGGTTTGACTCAGTGGATAGAGCGTCAACCTGCTGACTGAAGGGTCCCAGGTTCGATTCCGGTCAAGGGCATGTACCTTGGTTGTGGGCACATCCCCAGTAGGGGGTGTGCAGGAGGCAGCTGATCAATCTTTCTCTCTCATCAATGTTTCAAACTCTCTATCTCTCTCCCTTCCTCTCTGTAAATAAATATATTTTTTAAAAAGCTCTCATAGAACAGACACATTTCTAGTGTGGGACAGTGCCAATTAGTTTATGGAGACACTTGGCCCTCAAGGCGATGGAGCATAACCCTCCATTCCCAAAGCATGAGCTACACTGAGCGGCTTCCTTCCAAAGCAGTGTGGAGAGGGGGAGTAATGTTACAGCTGAGAAACCGGACATACACTACCTCAGCCATGACAGCAAGGTTAACATGGACAGTAATAAGGCATATTGATAGCATGTACCCTTGATATGATGCAATGAGAACAGGACTTTATTTCTGTGGTCTTCCTTCCCCAACCCCACTCTAATCATGAAGAAAACATCAGACAAATCCTAATTGAGAAAATTATATAAAATACCTCACCAGTACCCCTCAAATGTTGATGACTCCAGGTCATTAAAAATAAGGAAAGTCTTTGAAACTGTTCATATCCAACAGAAGCCTACAGGGATGACTAAATGTAAGGTGGCATCCTGGAGCCGACAAAGGAAATTAGGTAAAAAATAATTAAATATGACTAAAGTACAGACTTCAGTTAACAGTACAGTATTAATACTGGTTTATTAATTATGACAGATGTACCGTACCAATGTGAGAAGTTAACACTAGCAGAAACTAGCTGTAGGATATATGGGAACTCTCTGTCTTACCCTAGCAATAATTCTATAACTCTAAAATTTCTAAAATAAGTTAAAAAAAAACACACAAAACCTGTATCCACCCCATCACACCTCTCAAATTGAGTTATAGCTTTATTCACTGATCTCCCTCCAATCCATTCTGCTGGCAGCCAGGAGAGGGCATTCTCTAAAACATAAATCTGAATCCTTCCAGCAAAATAAGGGCGTTGGATGGAAAGTTCTGGAAGTATATTGCAGAACACTGACCCTGATTGTTACATTAGTTGTCATTATGATACAGAAAGAATCTGGGTGTTGTTTCCGGTGTCTGCTGAAATAAAATCACTGTATCCCAAAATGTAAAACATCTCCCAGATAAAGCCTGCCTTTCACACCCCCAACTCCCAACTCCTCCTGCCCCCAACCAGACAGCTACATAGTAATTTCTCTTTGCTTTGCAGACTCCTCAACCTGAGCCATCCTTTCCTGCCTTCTCTCCCAGACCCAGCTCCAGGGACCCTGCACCCCCTCCCCAAGACAGAGAGCACCCCTGCATTATCCACTGATGTTTTTTTCTACTTCATGTGAGAAAAATGGATTCCTCTGGCTCATTCCGCCCCCGCTCAGCTCACACTAGGCCCGGAGAAAGATTTGACGCAAGATAAATTAAAAGATGAATCACTGGATAAATGGATGTTCTAGGGCGCAGAGCTTCTCTGCGCGCATGCTCGAGGGGAAGGCGTGGGAAGCTGTTTGATACCTGGCTGAGGCCACTGCAGCAGCCAGGGCAGGGAGGGGCTTCCTCAGCCTCGTCCTGCCATTGGTCAGAATGGTCCGCATTGGCCTGACGCCACAGCTCTGCAGTCCCCGCAGAGCTCGACCCCCCCCTGCCCGCCAAATCCCCCCACCCTAACAACTCCATCTTGGAGGCCAGTGCGTAGATGGGCCTACAGAAAGGAGACTGCTGCTGGGAACTGGGCACCGGGCGGAACAAAAGACTCAAAGCAGCACTTTGAATTTGCTGGGAATTTTATTAGGATTACAGGGTTCACAGGGAATGAGCAGGGCTTCTGGGGGTGGGGGACAGAAACACCGAAATGGCGAAGCGGCCTTGCATAGACACCGATGCGGGCTAGCGGGCACAGCAGGTGGCAAAGTGAGGAGGAGAGAGACTTAGGACAACTGGGAGGCAGCAGCCATCCCAAGGCCACAGCAGCCCTCCCGGCTTCGGGATCAGGGGTGTTCACTCCACACAGCACGAGGAGGGGGGCAGAGGGGCCATGGCCAAGGCATCACAATAAATACGTAGCAGCACACAGAAGCCTGCGAGGGAGGGGGGCTGATAGGAAGGGGGAGACCCCTTTCCCTCCTCCCAAAATAAGAACTCTGCAATTACTAAACCATAAAAATAAACTTCAAACCCGTGTACGAACTTGATCACCCCCCAGAAGTGCAATGTGGAGCCTCAAGGCCCTAGCTGAGGGGGAGGGCAAATGGGGGGAGGGGAGAGGGACACAGAGGCAGTAGCCACAATGGCAAGGGTGAAAACATTTGTTTAGCCGGTGGTGCCCCTCTTACGGGGGTTGGCCCAAGCGTTTTGGACCGGAAACACCTCCTCCACGTCAGAGTCAGAGTCCCAGTCTTCTCCCATTTCTTCCTCTTCTTCCTCCTCCTCCTCCTCACTTCCTTCCTCGTCATCGGTGTCCTCATCTTCTGGCAGCACAGGGGAGAGAAAGGAAAAAAACAGAAAATGGAGGGTGGTTAGATGGGCAGGTACATGTCCCTTCTAATGGAACATAGCCCCTAACTAGGGCGTCTGGGGGGCCAGGGACCATTTGCCAAGCACTTCTGCTTGGAGCAAGCAGCCAAGTGTGTGTGTGTGTCGGGGTGTGACTTCAGCTGAATAAACCTATTCATCCCCAGGCAGTTCCCTCAGGAGGGAATGGGGCCAGCTACTGCCTCAATTTCCCCAGTCAAGCTGCCAATGTCCAGATTGAGTGTACTCACTTGCTGCCTCCTTCCTTGGTCCCCCTGGGAGTTACCTGAAATACCATCTTTTCCCTCAAACCCCATCCTCGTTTCTCAAAAGGCATTCTTTGGTGAGGGAAAAAAAATGGCTTCTGTGGTCAAGAAGCTTGAAAAATGCTGGGTTCCACGAAGTTTAAATAGGTTTCTTACAGCAGGACTTCTCAGAGCCTTTAAGGTGTTAATGTACATGTGACTACATGAACATATTCATGTATGCAGTATTTCCCCCGACATATGCAACCATTGAACCTTTTTTTGTGAGAAGCAGCTTTCAGAACTGGTGAAGGGTCCTCAGAAGACAATTTGGGAAACTGTGCCCAACATATGCCTTTTCACCCTTCCAGGTCCTTGTTCATGTGATCGCTTTTCCTGAGAATGCCCCAGAACAGCCCCCTAAGACAAATTCAAATGTGTCAGTTCCTTTTCTAGCTCTCCCCTTCCTCAATTCTTGAGGTACAATTAGCTGTTCCCTCCTCTGGGGCTCACAGAGCATAATGTTCACTTTGCTCCCGGCTCCCCAAACAGGACCGGGAGTTCCCAGAAGGCTAGGGCTGGGTACAGAGTGTACTAAATTGTAATGTGTTTGCTGCTTTATTTCTCTCTTTTCTCTCTCCCTCTCCCTCTCTACCAGTCCTTAATTTCCCCCCCTCCTCTTTGTATTTTGCAACCTACCTATCCATCAGCTAGAACTGAAACATATTTCGTTGGTTTTGTTAGATTTGTAAATTAAATGTTCCTGGCCTTGCTTTGAAAGCTGCAGATGCTTTTTTCTTTTCACCACAAGAGCAGACGGTGCTCACATCTCGATTCCCTGGTCCTGGCCAGCTTTGCCCTGAGGAAAGAAAAAGGAGGGAGGACAAGAGAGGGTCCAGCTCACCTTCCTCATCTTCTTCCTCCAGTGATGATTCTTCTATGAAGACGTCCTGTAGCTCATCTTCATAGTAGCCCAGGTTGTTGATGTGAAGCAGACTCTTCTCAGGCTCTTCAAATACATTCTCATAGTAATCAAAGTCTCTGTCATCGTCGTCGCTGCCTTCATTGTCGCCTTCATTGCCGTCATCATCACTGCCTTCATTGTCGCCTTCGTTGCCATCATTAAATTCATCATCGCTGGTCTCATTGTCTCTGAAGTCGCTGTCGCTGCTGCTGTCGTCGAAGTTGTTGCTATAGCCGCCACCTCTGGAGCTCTCACCACCATACACGTGCTCATAGGCGCTGTCATTGTTTCCGATGGTGAAGTGGTGGTCTGGGCTTTCACACTCAAACACGCTCTCACTGTCACAGAAACTATCACTGAAGTCAGTAAAGTCATTGTCCGAGGTCTCGAAGCAGTCGGTGGTGTCCATGAAGTCAGAGATCTTGACGTCGTGAACAGTCTCATTGTCATCGGTGATGAAATCACTGTCTGAGGTATCGCCAATAATTTCTTGCATCAGCTGATAGTCATCGAAGTCATCCATGATCACCACCTCATATCTGTCTCTCTTTTTAATTTGGGAAAACCTATGGTTGAATATAAGTTTGGGGGGGGAGAGACAAGATAAGACACTGAAAGATGGGAAGTAACTGGGGAGGCAGTAGGCCACAAAGGCTCAAGCTAGGGTGGGGAGAGTCCCATTTCTGCCCCTGACTGTACAGCCTAAGGCCAATCACACCCCATTTCTGGGCAACATTCGCCACTGGTAAAACATATTGGACTGAAGTGTCTTAAAGGTGCTTTGGCTTTATAAACCCTGTGGGACGCTAAAACATCACCTCTCAGCCTCCAACCCCCATCACCTTTCTCTCTTGTCGTGCCTCTTTCTGTGTGCTCTGTAGCCGCCTACTCCCATCATGTAGTAGCGCACGGGGTTGACCCACAGGTCGTTCTTGATAATCTGTTGAAAGAGGGGAGAAAGAAGAAAACAGAGCTGTGAGTACAAGCCCCAGAGCCTGCTCCAGGCACCTAGAGGCGAGCCCAGCAAGGCCTTCTCAGGAGGGCCCCCACCTCAGCAATCCTGTCGGCCTCTGGCAGGCTGTGATTTGAGAACCAGCTGAAGAAGCTGTAGTTGGTGCCCAGGTAAGCTTGGGGTTCCTGGCCCCGGTGCCAGCGGATTGGGGTGGAGTGAGCCACCAGCCGGCCTGGGAAGAAAGGAAGCTGTGGAGAAGGCACTGGGCAAGGGGAGTCGCGGGTCCCATGGATTTGCCCTGGGGACTGTCTCTTACCTGATCGGTTGCATTGGAACTCCTTGACAATCACCGTATTTGTGAAATAGGGGTTTGTCTGGAAGTACAGCTTCATTTTGTAGCCCATGGAGATGTGTCTGAGATCCTGCACCTGCTCAGGGTGGGGGTAATGATGGGATCACCACCCCACCATCCCCCCACCTCACCTTCAAGGACCAGATTCCTTGACTGGTCTTAGGAAAAACGGCTTTTGCCTGACCTGCAGGTTGGTCAAGTAGCGGAAAATGTCTTCGTCGCGTGGACTGATCATGACTGAAATTTTGGGGTGGTTGAGGAACTGCGGGAGGGAGCGGTTTAGGTTAAGGAGTGACTAACCTTTGAGAGGAGGGAGGGAAGGCCAAGCAAGTCAGGTCAGGCAGGGCAAAGCAAAAGAGAAGCTGGAGCAGAAATCCTCCTGTGTGCATTTGATGTGTGTGGAACAGTGGGTACTTTATTTCCACGATACCATGTAGTGAGAGCTTGTGTTTATGCTTTGTAAAACCTCCGTATTAGGTGGCCTTGCCATGGTTCTTACTTGTTGTGTCTGGGTGCTGAGGGTCTATGTCCATGTGATGTGTCTCTGGATGCTGAGGGCTTGTGTTCACAAAACATTGTGTGTCAGGAGGCTGAAGGCCCATGTCCAAATGATGCTATATCTGGTTGTTATGGGTCTTTATTCACATGATATAAACTGGGTACTGAGGGTCTATGATCATGAATACTTTGTACGGGAGTGTCAAGGATCTGTATCTATTTAATTCTATTAGTATGTTAAATCCATGTTCCTAACATGTTGCATGTCTGTATGTGTGTCCCTCAGAGATGGGGTTATCACCAGTTGTGAATGGGATTTTTTTTTACTCCCCTTTCCTTCATTCAACTCCAGGATTAGGCTCTCCATAGCATCTAAGCAGACACCCAGGCTTGAAGGGTTTATTTTCTGTGTGCCCCTCCCTCCTCCCTTCACCATCTATGGTCCAATGTTTCTGCTATGTACCCCTCTTCCGCCCACCCCTTTTCACTGCCTGTGAACCATTTCTTTCTATTTTTTAGTTATTTTTTTTCCAGTATTGCATGTAGTATTACATATGTATGATCCATTTATGTTATGTGCTTCTTCCCCCTTTCCCATCTGTGATTCAGTTTTTATGTCGTGTGGCTCCTCCTCCCGCCCCCGCCCCCCTCCCCATCTCCAATCCAGCTTCGCTGATGTCTCGCCCCCCTCCTTCCGTCCCTCCTCCACCAGACGTAGTCATTCAATCGAGGCCCGCCCCCACACTTTCACCCCGTCTCCCTCCCCCCGCCCACCTCCCCCCTTTCTGTCATGGGCCCCGCAGCCCATGGATTTAGGTATCAAGGATACTGCTTTGACCCAGAAGCCCGGGATGTGCTGGATGATAAGGTCTCTGCGCTCCAGGAAGGGTCTGCGCATCTGGATGAACTTGCGCTTGAGACGGAGAAAGGCCTTGCCAGCCTTAATATTCACCGCCTCCAGGTCTAGCTGAATGCCCTCCAGGGCCTGCAGGATGTACTGGAGCTTCTCGGGATTGACCTCCCCGCTGGGCTTCTTCACCTTCCTCTGCTTCCTCCTCCTCCTCCTCCTCTTCTTCCTCACATTCTCCTTCACCTCCTCCTCATCATCCTCCACTATGATAATGGCCTCTTCCTTCCCCGGCAGCCCGCTTACCACCTGGTACTCCCGTCCCCCTAAGCTACAGGTATTGAAGGCCTGCCCGCTATAGCCGCTGGTCTCAGGCTCCGGCTCGGGCTCGGGCTCCGTCACCTGAATATCAATCTCCACGCTCCCCCCGGCCACCTCCTCAGCAGAGTATGCTTCCAGGCTCTCTGAGGTAGGGGCCGCCTCCCCGTACCCCGCCTCGAAATCGGTATCCCAATAGGAGCACCCGGCGCCCAGGGTGAAGTACGCGCGCACTCCCCCCTCCTCCAGAATGACATAGGGGGTCGGCGGGGGCAGAGAGGGGCCCAAGCCCGCCCCCCTCATGTCAGCCAGCACCTGTGCCGCCTCCGTCTCCTCCTGGAGCCTCGGGCGCTGCTCCGGCGGAGGCAGGGGCAGTCGCATGAGCGGCGGCGGCGGCGGAGGTGGCGGTGGCGGCGGCGCGTCATCCCGAGACGGCTCGGAGCTGCTGAGGCGGCGGGCCTTGGCGGGAGGCCCCTCGTCAGGGCGGTCCATGGCGACTGCGCTCGGGGCCCCGGCGCTCACCGCTTCTCTCTCTCCCTCAGGCCGCCGCTTCCCGTCGCACCTGAGGCGGAGCGGCCGCGCCTGGACGCCAGCAGCTCCGCTCGCTCGCGCCTCCGCTCTGCGCCCCCTCCCGCGGCGCCCGTCCTACTCCCTCCGCGCCAGGCGCGCAGGCCCCGCCCCTCGTGACGTCAGGGGCCTGTCCCGCCTCGCCATTGGCTGCCCGCTGCCGAGGCGGCGCTGGCGTGCGCGAGACCACCGCCCGCTCTCACGCAATCTGCTTGCCAACACCGCCCCCCTCGACGCGTTCCCATTGGCTGCCCTCGGCTCTGCCAATCAGGGGGCTGTCGCCCCCGCGCGACCGGGGAGAAAGCTGAGGGGCGATTGGCTGAGGGAAAAGCCTGGGGAAGAAACCCCTTTCCCTCACCCTGCCAACGTTTCGGCCAATGGGAAACGGACCAGTGGTTCTTTTTTTCTTTTTTTATTTTTTATTGAATGGGGGGGAGGGAAGGGGGGCTTGAGGTAAAGAACGCCATACGTTCTACGGATGTATTATAAAACCGTACCCCTGAAACCGTTGTCATGGTATTCATCAATGTTACCAGTGGTTCTGACGATCAAAAAAATCAAAACAAAAAAATAAAGGCAGGCGCTGAGCACGTCGTGCTCAAATCAAATCGGAGAGCCTCGCTGTCCTTCATCCATCCCCCCCCTCCTCCGCTCCCTCCCCCACTTTTCCCTGCCGCAGGCAACTACGCACTTCTTAAATCTGCCTGGTCTCAGGCCCTGCCCCCAGCTTTTGCCAGGCCTCAGACCCCACTGAGGCCCCTGTGAGGCCCCTGGGGGCTCGGTTTGCTCTAACCCTGAGCCGGGACTTGAGTGGAGACCTAGGGACTTGGATTTGAGGCCAGGTTTGGACGTGGCAGTTTTCCATCTCTGCAAAATGGCTCTAGACATAATCACGCACACAAAAAATAAATAAATAAAACGGTAACATCTGTGCGTCATGAACATGTAACTCAGTTCGTAGGCTAGGTTTTTCTAGGGCTTTCTTTTCCATGGACTCAATACCTCTTCCCCTCCCTTCTTCTCCCTTTCCCCAGTATATACTGGATTATTTAATTGTATTTGAAAAATATATATATATATATTTTTGCCAGACGGACAGGTCTCTGATGGGGCATGGTGGTGGGTTCTGGCTCTGGTAAGGATTCAAATCAGGGGTTTATTTCTCCACTTTGTGACTCTCTGAGCTTCGGCTTCCTCTCCTCTAAATGAGATATCCTTAAAGAGAAGTGGAGGAAACTACCCATTGTAGCCTTGTAGTAGAGAACTGGAAGCAACCTAAAGCTCCATCTCCAGAGGGATGGGTAAGGAAAATGTGATATGTGTGTATAAGATGACCACTAGAATGAATTAGATCTACATACAGCAACATGGCTGGATCTCTCCAAAACAGAATGTTGAGTGAAAAAAGAAACAGAACAAGATTTATAGTACAATACTGTTTATGTAAATTAAAACACATAACAATACCATATATTTTTTTCACAGATACACATATATGTAAATAAACACATGAATGGTGGTTTGGAAAGACGTATGTTAAATACACGAGAGTGGGTGCCTATGTGGGCGGGGGGATGGGATCAGGGATGGCTGATGGAGGGGACAGAACAAACCAAAATAAACAAAGGGCTTCGCATGGATCAATGATGATATAGCCGTGCCAAGAACTGAGGAGTACGGTCAACTCAATTCTGTGCACCTGAGAGAATAAGTAAATAAATAATAATTGAGTGCCCAGGCAACAGTCTGGCTGGGTAGACCTCCAGGCGTGGGTTCCCTCCTGTGACATCCCTCACTCTGAATTTAGCCAAAGCTTACCAAAGCCCCAGCTGCATAAAGCAGACCTTTCAGAAGATCTCCCATCCCAGACCGAGCAGGCCCTCCAGAAGCCATTACTTTGTGGGGGGCATTTTCTAACCCATCAGCTCTCCCCAAGTTGGATCCCCAATTCCCAGTCCCCATTCTCCATGGCGGCCCAGTTTCAGGAACACCTTGTTTGGGTTTTGGAGAAGAGACTGATTTGGGAGGTTGAAAGTGCTACTTGGGGGCTCTTTGGGGAGAGAATGGGGTTCTCAAGTATTTCGTCTGCCATGTTTAGAACCTGTGCCAAGGGAGGAAGATCTGATGAGATGGGAATCTTCCTCTTGCTATATACATATGTACTTTTCAAGTTCTATCTCTCCGGCCACTCGACTTCCTGCTGCCGCAGGCACATACTGTAGTTTGTCTCCTCTCAGTTAGGTGCATACATGTATGTGTGTGTGCATGCCATATATGTCTCCACATACAGGCATTTACTCACGCATGTGTACCAGGCAGGGGTGCCTCCCCATACAAAGTCACACAAACACACCGTCTCACTCACTCATACATCCCCACATGTGGTCATGCAGACAGGACACATGGACACACAGACGCACACAGACAGACACGCACACACAGTCAGAAAGAGAAAACATCCAATATAGCATTGTTCATTTCAGTTTTCCATTTACAAAATCCAATGGTGAATCCAGGCAGTTAGAAAAAAGAAATGGAGGAAAACCCTCCTGAATGTACCCTATGTACCCCACCCCCGTGGCCCCCCCACCCCACCCCCTAGAAAAGGCACCCCCATCACTATCACTGAGAGAACAGGTACCCTCCCCACCCCCAGCCTCTCAGCCACTCTGGCCTGCCTTTCCAGGACAACTCCACAGCCAGGCTCATTAATGCCTCTCCTGCCTAGAGTGCCCTCCCCATTCTTCTGGGGTCAAGGCTTAGGACTAGGGTTTCAGTAGGGAAGGAAAAGGGGGTGGATAAATACAGATCTGCCCTGCCCACAGAGAACCTGGGCGAGACCAGGCAAAGGAGTGCCAGCTTGGATCCCCAGGCCACAAGAACTGTCCTTGGTGTGATCCCAGAGTGGACTCTGCCCTGGGAGGGAAGCTTGGGGTCACCCACCTGGTGAATGTGGCTACAGTCTGTTCCACGTTGGGAGGCGGTAAGGGCGGAGGGTGGCAAGTTGGGAGCTGAGGGCCCAGAAGCCAAGGGCAACCACAGAAGGGCTTGAGGGCCCTGAGGCTTGGAGAGGACAAAAAGAGGTCACAGAGGGATGGATTCAAATCCTCTATGAGATACCAAGCCCTCCCCCAAAAAAACAACAACAACAACAACAATTTTCATCTTTCGGAGAGTAGCATGAACCCAGGAGACAATTCTGGGATTGCATTCCGCTCTGATGCCAGGCTCTCAAATCCAGCTACTCTGGGGAGTTCAGCTCTCTCCCTATACTTCCCTGGGGGCTTGCTCCTGCCTGTATGGCACCCACATCAGCCCTCGTGGAGCTGGAGTGGATTTCCACCCTTAGAAAGAAGAGTTAGGGGCTGGGGATCCAGGAGGCAGCTCTAGAGAATACTGTCAAGCTCCAGGCGTGCGGCTCACATCCTGCTCTTCACTAGCCTGTGCCCATCCGGAGGGCCCTTCTCCTGCCCCTCCTGGCTTCTCAGATGCTCAAGAAACACTTGGGATGTCTGGACATGGGTAGCAAGAGGAGACTGGGCGTGAAACCAGAGTTAGCCTAAAACAACATTGCACACGACATAGCAATTAAACATCCCTGCTCCCTGGGGACCCTGCACCCCCTTTGGTCCCCCTTGTCAACAGATCAGCTTCCCCCTAAATATCCAGGCCTTGCTAGAGGACTTGGAAGGGGAGGGTGCATGGGAGCAGAGGGGGCCGGAAGAGCCCTTGGAAGTCTATTTTACAGGACAAATTTCCCCATTCTCGACAGTGTCAGAAGGAGAGACATTAAAGCAAGAAAGCCCAACTCCTCAGCTGATAGTAGAAAAACCTGCACTTTCACGTTTGTTTTCTTTTTCTGAAGAGAGAGAGAGAGAGAGAGAGAGAGAGAGAGAGAGAGAGAGAGAGAGAGAGAGAGAAGAGAGATTGTAGAAGTGGAAAAGGAGGCAGCAGAGACAGGCCCTAGAATTAGAAACACCTCTTTCCCAGTCCCCCACCCCTGGGGAGGTGTTGGCAAAGGTGCCCAGATTCCGGGTGGTTTCAGGGGCTGGGGCTGAAGCTCAGAAAGAAAGGCTCCTGCATGGGGCCCTACCCCTCCGTTTCTGTTAGCCCCATGGTAGTGGCCATGACCCTCTCCCTGTCTGTCTGCCTATCAGCCTGCTTCACATGACACAGTAGGGTTCTCTGGGAGCCGGGGCACCTCCTGTGCCCCAGCAGGGGGCGTGAGTCCTCAGGCACTTCTTGAGGTCCTTGTTGAGCAGGAAGCAGACGATTGGGTTGACGGCAGCTTGGGCGAAGCTCATCCAAACAGCAGTGGCCAGGTAACGGTGGGGCACAGCGCAGGCTTTAACAAACACTCGCCAGTAGCAGGCCACGATGTAAGGTGACCAGAGGAGCAGGAAGAGCAGTGTGATCGCGTAGAACATGCGGCCCAGCTGCTTTTCACCCTTGACCTCGTCCATGCCCAGCAGCCGCCGGCTGGCTGCATGCCCATTCTGCCGGATACCCAGCAGGGTTGGTGGCATGGGCCCACGGCCAAAGCCAGCGATCCAGTTGGCAGCAGCCTGGCCGGTGGCCCCGGGGCCATGGAATGTCCAGTTCTGGCTAATGGCTGGCACCATCTGCACCGGCTTCATCTTGCGGTGACGATACTCAAAGAGGAGCAGTTTGCCATAGACAGCATGTGTGGCTGCCATGAGCACGGCCAACATCAGCATGAAGCCCAGCGTGTCATTGGCCTTGAAGTAACGATGCTCAAAGATGCACTGGTCCTCCTCGCGGATAAACTTGTAGGTGCCCACGTCGAAGACGGGTGGGAAGGCCATGGCCACAGACAGGGTCCAGGCCATGCAGATGACGGCTGCACATGTCCAGAGTGTCATGCGTTTGGCATAGAAGCGGTGGTGGGCGATGGCCATGTAGCGGGTGACGCTGATGCAGAACAGCATGAAGGCCGCATGGAAGCAAAAGAGCACAGCCATAAAGGCCACAATCTTGCAGCTGAGCGCGCTGAAGGTCCAGGAGGAGCCGTGGCGCACGGAAGCCAGCACAAAGGGAAAGCAGACGGCAGAACGGATGCCGTCGGCCAGGCACAGGTCCAGGAGAAAGTAGTAAGGAGCCTTGTGCAGGGCACGCTCCTTGAGCACCAGCAGGGACAAGATGGCGTTGCCCGCCAGGCTCACGCACATGATCAGTCCCAGCAGCACCAGCTTGACGTAGGCCGATGCTGATGGTGGGGACAGAGCACCGCTCACCTCCTCGGGCTCGCCAGTGGTGTTGGCCATAATGAAGGGCATGGGCTGCTCCCAACCCTATGGAGTCAGCCAGTCTGGTACTCGATGGGCTCTGGGGGACTCCATCAGTTGTCCTGCTGGGCTGCACCTGCAAGTGGGGGGAGTGGGAGAGACACAGACACAGACACAGAGAGATGAGGGTAAGAGAGAGACAGAGAGGAAAAAACACAGAAGCACAGAGAAGGAGTGAGAAAGGATAGGCAAGAGAGATGGAAAATGACAACAAAGATAGAAATGGATAAAAAAATTGAGACAGAAATGGAGGGGATGAAAAGAGAGACAGAAAAGGGAAAAGAAGGGAGAGGGACAGAGAGGGAGAGGGCCAGGAAGATAGGGGAGAGGAAGAGAGAGGGAGAAGGGAGAGAGGGAAAGAGAGGGAGGGAGAGAAACAAGACAGACAGGGAGAAACATGGAAAGAAAAAGTGAGGAAGAAACAGAAGGGGCAGTGTTAGCGTGTCTGTGTAGCCACACCTGCTTACTCCCTGGCTGGTGTCAGGCCCTGGCCCTGGCCCTACCCCATCCTTGCTGAGTGAGGACACTTCATATCTCTAGGTTTGCTATGCTGGTGGGTTTCTGTGGGGCAGGGATGTTGATGTGGCTCCCCCCCCCCCATTTTTTTTTAAACATATTACTGATTTCAGAGAGGAAGGGAGAGGGAGAGAGAAACATCAATGATGGGCGAGAATCATTGATCGGCTGCTTCCTGCACACCCCACACTGGGCATCGAGCCAGCAACCCAGGCATGTGCCCTGACAAGGAAGCAAACTGTGACCTGCTGGTTCATAGGTTGATGCTCAACCACTCAGCCATGCCAGCTGGACTCTTCCCATAGTATTTATTGCCATCCACAGTAAGATTTTACATTGCAATACAGCACACACACACACACACACACACACACACACGTGTGTGCACACACAGCTGAATCAAAAGTTTCACATCTATGTCTAATATACTCTCAGTTTCTACTCTGTTTCATTCTTTTGGTTGTTTTTGTTTTCTTGTTAATACTGGTGGCCACTCATTAAATAGGTGTATTTATTCATATCAGCAAGTGCTTAGCCTGCTAAAGGAGCAGTGCGAAAACCAGTGTGGTTGGAATAGGGCAGGACACTTCATATCTCTAGGTTTGCTATGCTGGTGGGTTTCTGTGGGGCAGGGATGTTGATGTGCCCCCCCCCTTTTTTTAAAACATATTACTGATTTCAGAGAGGAAGGGAGAGGGAGAGAGAAACATCAATGATGGGCGAGAATCATTGATCGGCTGCTTCCTGCATACCCCACACTGGGCATCGAGCCAGCAAGTAAGTAAGGCCGTAGAAAGTAAGGCCGTAGAGGTGTCCAAGGCCAGGTCGTGGAGGGCTGTGGGTGATGTTGAGGACTTGGGTTTTTAGTTTAAGTAAGGCAGAGAGTGTGTGAGTATAAATATGTAGATATGCTTGTGTGTATTCCTTCATTGAAAAAACATTTATTTCCCTGGCTGGGTAGCTCAGTTGGTTAGAGCATTATCCCAATATGCCAAGGTTGCGGGTTTGATTTCCAATCACAGCACATATTATATAAGAAGCAACGAATGAAGACATACAGAAGTGGAACAACAAATCTCAATCTCTCTCTCTCTCTCTCTCTCTCATAAATAAAATGTTTTCTTTACGAGAAACCATTTATTGCCGAAACCAGTTTGGCTCAGTGGATAGTGTCGGTCTGCCGACTGAAGGGTCCAGGGTTGGATTCCGGTCAAGGGCATGTGTCTTGGTTGTGGGCACATCCTGATGGATGTTTCTCTCTCATCGATGTTTCTAACTCTCTATCTCTCTCCCTTCCTCTCTGTTAAAAAAAAAATCAATAAAATATATATTAAAAGAGAGAGAGAGAGAAACCATTTATTGAGTATCTATTGTATGCCAGGCATGGTGGATGCAGCTGTGAATGAGAAAAGGATCCCTGCCTTGTGGAGCTGACATCCTGGATTAAAAAACAATACATGGATGAAGTATAGTAAGTCAGATGATGGTAAATTCCTACAAACAAAAAAGGAGGAAAAGGGGATAGGAAGTGTTAGGGGTAGGGGAGATGCAATTTTTGATGAGGTGGACAGGGAAGGTTTTATAGAGGTGTCATCTGAACAAAGATCCGAAGGGGGTGAGGGAGTTACTCCTGTGGGTATCTGGGGGAAGAGAAGTCCAGGCAGAGAGAACAGCAGAGCAAAGGCCCTGAGGTGGGACCACAGATGGTACATTTGAAGAGGTACAGGAGGTCACTGCGGGTGGAACAGAGTGAGTAAGGGGCAAGTGATGTGAGGTGTGGTCAGATGATGGCTAGGCCAGATGAGGTAGGCATGGCGAGAGCTTTGGCTTGTATTCTGAGTGAGATGGGAGCCATAGGAGGGGTTGTGAGCAGAGGTCAGATATGCGATGGGGATTGAATAGGATCCTGGTTACTGCTATGAGGAGCACAGACCATGAGGACAAGTGTGGAAGTTGGGAGCCTAGTTAGGAGGCTCTTGCAGTAATCTGGGTGAAAAATAAGAGCACCCATGCCTTTTGCCCTGCTTTAGTTCTTTTTTCCCCCCTAGAATTTATCTCTTTTAAAAAATTTTTAAAAAAATATATTTTATTGATTTTTCACAGAGAGGAAGAGAGAGGGATAGAGAGTTAGAAACATCGATGAGAGAGAATCATCGATCAGCTGCCTCTTGCACACCCTCCACGGGGGATGTGCCCGCAACCAAGGTACATGCCCTTGCCCGGAATCGAACCCGGGACCTTTCAGTCCGCAGGCCGACGCTCTATCCAGTGAGCCAAACCGGTCCTGGCTTTATCTCTTTTTTAAAATAAAGATATTTTTATTGATTTCAGGGTGGGAGAGGGAGAAAGAGATGGAAACATCAATGATGAGAATTGTTGATCAGCTGCCTCCTGCACGCCCCCTGCTGAGGATCGAGATCACAACCAGGGCATGTGCTGTGACCAGGAATCTAACCAGGACCTCTTGGTTCCTAGGTTGACACTCAACCACTGAGCAATGCCAGTCAGGCTAGTATTTATCTCTTTTAACACACTGTATTAATTTACTTAAAATTTTCTTTATATGTTTTTATTAATTTCAGAGCAGAAGGGACAGAAATATAGAAGCATCCATGATAAGAGAGAATTATTGAGCAGTGGCCTTCTGCACATCCCATACTGGGAACCAAACCTGCAACTCAGTCATGTGCCCTGCCTGGGAATTGAACAGTGACATCCTGGTACATAGGTCGATGTTCAACCACTGAGCCACGCTGGCCGGGCTTAATTTACGTTTAAATTTTGCTTTAATGCCTATGAGAACAAAAGCGCCCCAGGGCAGGGCGTATAGACTCTCACACTCTCCAATTGACTGAGGGAAGAAATGGGCTAACGGCTCAGGGAGGGCTGCCTGGAAGCATCCAAGTGGGATTTGCTGAAAGAGCAGCCGATCTATGATTCTCTCTGATCATCGATGCTTCTATCTTTCTCTCCCTCTCCCACCCTGAAATCAACAAAAATATATTTATTTTTAAAAAGTGATACATTCTAGCCGAAGCCGGTTTGGCTCACTGGATGGAGCATCGGCCTGCGGACTGAGGGGTCCCAGGTTCGATTCCGGTCAAGGGCATGTACCTTGGTTGTGGGCACGTCCCCAGTGGGGGGTGCGCAGAGGGCAGCTCATCGATGTTTCTGACTCTCTATCCCTCTCTCTTCCTCTCTGTAAAAAAATCAATAAAATATATTTTAAAAATAAAATAAAATAAAAAGTGATGCATTCTAGGAAAAGAACTAAAGCAGGGCAGTGCCTGAGTGGGAGAGCAGGATCCTGTTGAATCCCTAGTCATCGCATATCTGACTTCTACTCACAGCCCCTCCTATGGCTCCCATCTACATGATCTGGCCTAGCCATCATTCTGATATCCACAGGAGTAACTCTCTCACCCCCTTCGGATCTTTGTTCAGATGACACCTCTATAAAACCTTCTCTGGGCAGGAAACAGGAAGAATCCTGGCTGGGGCAGAGGATGTGGGGTGTGATAAGATAACAGGGAAGGTTCAAGAGGAAAGTTGGCAAGGCAGACACCGGAAAAGACCAGAGTTACTTTTGAGGCTGGGATGAGCTTGAGATTGGGGAAGGCGGAGTTTGAGTGGGTGTCTTTCTAACCTCTCCTCTCCCAGGAAAAAGTCTCCCATCTGCACTGTTTTCCAGCTCAGTCCAACCTGGCCTGCCACAGCTCCCCGGGGCCAGGCTTGTTTGATGGCACCTGGAAATCTCAGAGCCAGTGGCAATAAGCCACAAGAAGGTGCTGGGGCAGGGACGCAGGGGAAGTGGGTTGACAAGTCCCTTTCAGCGGGCCCTCAAAGCCTGATAGTTCCCATAGAACTGTGGACTGGTCAACAGACAGATGGCTCTGTGTAAACGTGTACACACACACACACACACACACACACACCTACCTTAGCCTTGAGAGGAGACAGGGTAGGAAGTTAAAGAGACAGACCTGGAGTTTTCAAAGAGACACACGGAGTAAGAGAGAAGAGAAAGAGATAGGAGCAGAGAGAGACAGAGATAGCGAAAGGTGGGGGGAGAGAGCCAGAGACAAAGAAAGGGGAGACAGCCTTACACACAGAGGAAGAGAAAAATAGAAACAGAAAGGGAAAGAAGAGAAAAGGAGAGTGAGACCACAGAAACAGAGGTACATAGAGAGGAAATGAAAGAGTGGGAGAGACAGAGAAAAATGGAAACAATGGGTTACATTTGGTCAGAATGACCAAACCTGCAACTCAGGCATGTGCCCTGCCTGGGAACTGATATGATAGAGATACAAAAATAGAGGGAGAGAGACAGACATAGACAGAAAGAGATAGAATAAAAAACAACAGAAACAGAGTCAGGAATGGAGGGATGTAGAGAGGGAGGGAGGGAGATAAGTAGATATTGAGGTAGAGAGATAGCAGGGGAGGGATAAAACCAGGAAACAAAGAAAGATTTAGAGAACTAGAGATGGGGTGGGGGAGTGAGAGACAGATGAAGAGAGGGGATGGAGATAGAGGCAGAGAAAGAGAGAGGCAGAAATAAAGATACAGAGATAGAGTGGGAGACAGGGAGACATACTAAGACCAAGAAGGGGGATAATGTGTACACAGTCCAGAATGAAAACAAAAGCAAATGCTAAACGAAAACAAAGGGGGGGAAACAATAGCAGCAAAGGAACAAAACCCTGGTGTTGCTTGGAAAGCTGGGGCAGTTGTATAAATCACCGAGGAGAGGGTTCTTCTGAGCACAGCCCCAGCCTGGTGCCCACACGCCTTTAGACACAGGTACACAAGACACCTGCACACTCACAATGACACGCAGCCTACTGCAATGGAGACCCATGGGCAGGAACCAGCTCACACATAGGGACATTGTGCCTACACACACACACACACACACACACACACACACACACACACACACGGAGGGTGTACCACGTACATTGCCTCAGTCGCACAGGTACTGTGTACCCTGCCTAAATGCCAGTGCTTCGTCCTCAATGAAGGCGTTACTGCCCCCTAGAGGACATTTTCGAAATTTGTCTGTGCATTTTTGATTGCCACCATGCTAGGGTATAGGGTATTATTCTAGCATTTAAGGGTCCCAGGTAAGGATACTGGCGATCCAGTGATGTGCACGGCAGCCCCACGCAGCCAACACATTGTCTCGCATCCTCTGGGACTTTGGGTTTGTAATGAACCGAACCTAGAATCTACCTCTGTTTCAGAGAGAAACACAATCCCCCTCATTTTTAATGTACAGTAGGTCCTCGAATAAGGTTTCATTCAATGTCACACATATGACATTGAATGAAACCTTATGTGTGTCATATGTGTGTCATATGTGTGACAATGTCATATGTGTGACGTATGTTGATCAGATGTGTTTAGTGTTTAGGAACTTAACTCCTGTTGACATCAATCAGCCTGTGGTAAAACTGGTTTTGCTATATGTCATTTTGCCACAGTTTCAAGAACCCATTGATGGCCAAAACCGGTATAGCTCAATGGATAGAGCATCGGTCTGCGGACTGAAAGGTCCCAGGTTCGATTCCGGTCAAGGGCATGTACATTGGTTGCGGGCGCATCCCCAGTAGGGAGTGTGCAGGAGTCAGCTGGTCAATGTTTCCCTCTCATCAATGTTTCTAGTTCTCTATCCCTCTCTCTTCCTCTCTGTAAAAAAATCAATAAAATATGTTTACTAAAAAAAGAACCCATTGATGAATGTTAAGCGGGAATTTACTATACTTAGGAGTGGGGCTAAGTTCACAGGTGACTATATTCTGTTTTGTGGAGCACTTTCCTTGAGCTGTTCACTATTTCAGAAAAATCTCAGCCCTAAGCCTCTGCCTGTCATTTTCCTGCAGTTTCTGCAAAGGGCAGCTTCTGATTTCCCCCTTCTCCTCAATCCAAGTAATCAGTGTAAGATGCCCCTAACTACTTCATCGAATCTCCTGGGGAGGGTTATGGCCAAGCACTTACACACTGAAATACAAATTATTTTCTTATAAACCACTTTCCTTGTATTTCTTATTTATATGTACTAGAGTTAATGCAATATGACTATTGTATAAAATACTACGTGGATTTTGTTTTGAAATTATATGTGGAGAAAGATTATATTATTTAAGAACTTCATTACAGATAGTAAAGGGGCATTGCAAAATGTTACATAAAAGAGGGTGTTGGGTATAGGAGGGCTGAGAATTACAAACACAGTCAGACACACTCACACGTATACTTGTGCAATGGTTCATAAACCCACAATTATAAACCCCCAATACACACACACACACACACACACACACACACACGTGAACTCTCAAATTCTGACAGATACACACATTTAAACCTACTCACTGTCACACATAGACTCATACATCCCCTTTGTATCAATATACCTGATTATTCAAATCTTCTCACATATTCAGACAAGCTCCTGCAACACAAGTATGCAAACAGTGGCATACCTATATCATCACATATACAACCACTATTACACACATTCACATTCAACTTCAAAGTCACTTACACAGGCCACCATACTCACATGCACTTGACACACATACACACAAACACAAAGAGAAAAACTGCCCATGTATACAATCAGACTCACAGACATGTGTGCACACACAAACTTGCTCCTAATACAAATACACTTACATGATATACATATCCTGCAACAGGTATAAACCAAGAGGTAGTCCTGCACATGTGTAGACAAGCCAAACCCTGCACACACAAGTGGAAACATTAGCAGATCTGCCAGGCTGGTGGGTACTTGCCACAGCAGCAGGCCAGAACAAGATGGGGCTCTCGTTCATCTTCTGTGAGGTTTCCCCCTAAGTGTATATATGTTTGTTTTCTTTTCATTTGATCTCGTTTTTATTGTTTCACAACTCTTTTTCCTACAGAAATACAAGGGTTGTGTGATTGTTGCTGTTATTACTATTATATGGTATTAAGTTTTCCTAAGAGGAATATAATTAGCTTGGTAATTTCCTTCACCATTGCTTTGTTATAAAAGAAACTGTGTTCTTCTAGAACACATGTGTCAAACACAAGGCCCTCGGGCCAAATCCGTCCCGCCAGGCCTTGCAATGTGGCCCGCACCGCGCTGTCATCACTGCACTCCGCTGCGTTTCCATCACAATGACAGTTTATGACTGTTCAGTAAACCATTCGGCCCGCGATTTAGGCTGGATTTTAGATTTTGGCCCCTTCTCTGATTGAGTTCGACACCCCTATTCTAGAACATTTGAAAGA